CGTAGGTAGTATATGCGCTGTGTGTTGCCTATCCGCCATGGGTATTGGATTGGATTGGATCGCCGCGTCAGCAATACAAACACTCGAAGCCTCGATGTGGGTCGGCCTCTCCCGTTCCTGTTTCAAACTGAAATTACACTTTCCCGTCCGACCCGTCGTTCTCCTCCTCCTCCCCCCCGATACCCCTATCTATCTAGCCCCATTTTTCCCTTCGCGTTGTCGTTTTTCGCTCGTCATCCAAACGGCCAAAGATTTTGCCAAAGTTCGCAATTAGAGTCTACAATCGATGGGTTCAGTAGCCGGTGATAGTAGGAACTTGAAACTTCCCCGAAGCGTTTTAGTTGGAATTTTTTATTGCGCACGGAGATGAAATGATAGAAATAGCGAATTTCGAAAGGATAAAAAATTGTAAACTAGAGACTTTTGAAACTGCGATTCTACTCTCTTTTGCTCTTTTACTCTTTTTTTCATAAAGCAGTAAAATTGTGAGTTGATGAATTTTGAAGCTCCGATTCTATTTTTTCCCTTTCTCCGTGAAGTGGAGGAGTAAAATGGTAAACTATTGAATTTTGGAACTTTGATTCTACGTTTGCCCTCTTTCCACGAAGTGAAAGAATAAAATGACGAATTATCGAATTTTCAAATTATGTGTTCCTACTTGAATTTTTTATAAAATTTAATACCATATTCTATATCATTCTTTGTTGGCTCAATAACGGTGTGAATACTTCGAATCTTGTGATATCGCGCAGCGTGAAAAACTTTGATGGGATCAAGGTTCACGCAAAACACGGTTGAATCCTAAGTGATGGGGAGAGAGAGTGTGTGTGTGTGAGAGAGAGAGAGAGAGAGAGAAAGGCAGATTTTTTTTCACGGGAGAGGAATCAGAGGTTTCCGTCCGAGGGATTAGAAATTAAAGGCGAACCAGTGGATGGTGAATTCCAGGCGGCGTATAAATTTTCTCTCCCCCGCGGGGGCAGAGAGTGAAAAAGACTTGTGCAGCGGCCGCAGCACACGGAAATCGAAACCCTTTGGCTCCGCTTTCCTCGAGAGGCGAGACCAACCGACTAACTCGAATGAAAAGCCACCAGTGCTGGTAAGAGACACTTCGTACACGCTCCTGCTGGTGTGTATCCGAGCACGAAAAAAGGATTTTGGGAAAGAGAGAGAGAGAGGACAGGAGAAAACGCTTATTTAGCTTACCTTTTACTTACACGTGCTATACAATGTTTACCTACACCCACCTAAGCATATAAGACTGGAGGGACCTGCTTGAGAGGAATAATGTTTGCGCAAGAAGAACGGATAGCGATTTCGATATTTAAAAAAAGGAAACAGGGAAAAAGGGACTGGTCAAGGTTGACGCACTGTGTCGACTTTCCAATACGGATAACGCCAATGTTGGACTCTGTTTGAGATGTACATAGTGTGTATTCCAGGATGATAAGCAACGAACGGTAAAAGTAAAGAGACCAAACAGTTTAGTCTCTACAGCAACCCAAATCTCCCTAGAATAACACAAACCTATACTTCGACCAATTAATGACAATGCAATGTATAGTTTGTGGAATCAATATGGTAAGGTCGTAAATTAAAGCATTCAGTGGCGACACATTCACAAGGCAGGTATATTTTTTAAACATACTGCAATAGAAAAACCAATTCAAAATTGACATTGAATGACCTTGAAGCTTATTATCTCCCTCAAACTGTTATTCCTTACTATATCAGTTCCACAGATTATACCATCGACAATCTCAGAACCACAGCTATGAATTAAAAATCCATTCTCCACCTAACATCATCTTTGGTCTTCAAACAACAGCACAGACATCAAAGTGACCAAGATTTCGGTGCTCCTCTATCGTGCACATACGTCTCAAGCTAAAAGCAAAGCAAGAAGCTGTTGAAGAAGAGGAAGAGATGAAGAAGCAGAAATAAAAAAGACAAAGAAGTAAGTACAAGAAGAAGAAGAAACAGGAGGAGAGGAAGAAGAAGAAGAAGGGGGTGTGTTCCATCCGAATGTGGCGCAACTACCTGACGACAAGAACAATGAGA